TGCGAAAAAGCGTTGATCTCTCCCCAAAACCATGTTTTTGGGCGTCGAAACAACTTTTCGCCATACATTTCCTTCTAGCGACTTGCAATGTTTGCCCCTCTGACGATCCCAGAGTTCTTTGCGCAAACACGGGTATCCGATTACTGGCAACTCATTCATTGGCTCAGATGGCATAACTTTTGCTATAACTACTAAAGACGTTTATTATTGCATATAATATTATGATAGTATAATTTTTTGTACAATGCAGATAATCCAACAAGCCTAAAGGTCAACAGAATTGCCAAGCTGAAGAAAAAGTGTAGGCGAAAGTAAACAAGACAGAACACCATGATGACAACTATCTTATAGGGTGTTTGGTTTCTTTTTTAATCAATGGATCTGTTAAAGAAACCTGAACACAACCACGATCTTTCCAAGAAAACGAAGAATGAAAAAGCTCTGATATCCAATTCCAAGAAAAGTTGATAAACAATCATTTACAGTTGACGTCATTAATTGTGTTTCGACTTTCTAAAGCCCGGGTCGCACTAATGTAAAAAGTTGTTTGTTTTACAAAAAAATCTGTCAACAGGTAGGTTTTTCCCGTGCGACCGATTTGTCAGACATTGTCAAAAATGAGCGGAATGTACCAAATGTTCAGAGATGCCGGCACTTAAAATTGCCAAGCTCTGGACCCCCCAAATGTCACAAAAAATCAAAAAAGCTATTAAACTGTCACTCGTGACGCAAATAGTCAATGAAAAACGCGGTAAAATCACGTTTACTTGTGATTTGGCGCCAAACTTGTTGAGAAGGCTACGAAGATGGATCTTTCTTGGCCATATGCGAGTTCCAGTGCTCTTTATATGCCATTAAGAGCGATGACTCCAGATAAAAGAAATTATTTTGGTCAGCAAGAAGTCAATTTGAGTCAACCAACATTCGGTCCATATCAATTCAGTCATGGCTCAAGCGGTGGCATCTCCTCACCGGCTTCACTTGGAGAAGAAACTTTTGAGAGCCAGTCCCCAAGTCAGTCCAACCAGTCCAAGAAATACGATAAGTGGACCAACGAACAGCAGAAGTACTTGGTCCAATTATGGGCTGAGAAGCAGGATATGCTTAACAGCAAGGATACAAGAAATGCTTGGCGTGCGATTGCTGATGAGATTAACAACAAGTTCGCAACCAACAAGACGGTGGATAAGTGTATAAGAAAAATTAAGTACCTAGTTGACGCCTACAAAGAAAAGAAAGAATGGAATAGAAATCAAACCGACGGCAACTTGCGAAAAACTGTTTTCTACGACGAAATCGATGCTGTTTTGGGTTGTCGTGACATCGTGACCCTTAGGCACGTTCAAGAAGCTGGTGATTCTCCGTCGACAACATCATGTTCAGCGGATAGCGAAAGCCCCTTGAATGTATCTGCTGAGTCCAGCATCGAGAAGGAGCCAATGGAATCCGCTTTGCCACTAAAATCTCGCCTGGAAAGGAAGAAAGGTCCACGCAAAAGGAAGAGAAAACCAGAGGATGCCGACGGAGAAATGGAAGAGCACTTCAAACGTGCTTACGATGAGATCAAATTCCAAGGAGAACGCGTTGCGTCTTGAATGGAAAAAATGCAAGAGGTGCAAATGCAGCAGATGAAAATGATGAACCAATTTATGGGGAATTTTCTCCAGGCATTTAAGGAGAAAAATAGTTAAATGTCAAACACTTTCTTTCATCCATCTATGATATGCGATTTATGATATTNCAAATCCCAAGGAGAACGCGTTGCGTCTTCCATGGAAAAAATGCAAAAGATGCAAATGCAGCAGATGGAAATGATGAAACAATTTATGGGGAATTTTCTCCACGCATTTAAGGACAAAATTAATTAAATGTCAAACACTCTCTTTTATCTATCTATGATATGCGATTTATGATATTTATAATATGCATGTGCAAGATTCTGTTACTGTAAAAGATGAGAGTTTGCTAAAGACAAACTGAAATGTTCAATTCTTGTTTAAATTTTAGAGCTATTATACTATTAAAATGTGTTCACTATGACACTGAACATGGTTGGTCCCCTCCGCTTACTATGCACTGAAGAAAAATTTTGAATTGTGTTCAAATAAAATGAAGTAAATCTCGAGTAACTCGTCATCATTTTCGTCACTGTCATCCCAGTGGTCGCCGTTCCTGATGCACTGGGAAATTATGAAGTACCACGCAGGCAATGGCAGTCTTGACTGCAAAGTTCCGTTGATATTGCTGTTGAACCGCTTTGCTAAAATCCTCCATCGGCTCTTTAAAATACCAAA